CCCATTTGATTTGTGGTGATGGGGAGAAGACATGATGTGATTAATATCCCAGGCTGTGGTGAAGGTACGAAATTCTTCGAAGCTGTAGTTGCTACCGTTGTCAGTTATGAGAACTGCAGATGTGCCATGAGTGGCAAAGATTGATTTCATTCCTTCGATCAACGACACAGTCAACAAGTCGGGATTGCTACAATAACAGCATTGATAGTGTTTCCTTCTAGCTCGAAGCAATCATTCGGCACGGCCTGCCAAGGTAGTTTTGATAGTGGATATGACATCATCGGCTCTTTTTGTTGAGCAGGTCAGATGATTTAAAAGGATGGCTTGCCGAATCTCAAGCCCTCAACAATGTAACTCTCAAAGTTAGACGGCCTTATTAACGTCGAAAAACGAAGAACTGGTGCTTGAGTTATCAGCTTTTTGATTATTGGGAATGCTTCTTTGTACTGGGGTAACCAATCGAATTCTGACGCCTTGACGGTGAGACGACGTATAGAGGTTCTGCAATGATACTGTACTTGACAATGGTAGTTGGCTACACCAAGTAGTCTTTGCACTCCTCGCATATCAACATATTGCTAGAACTTTCTCAGGGTTTGGTGAAATCCCATCTTTACATCTTTAGTGACAACATGACCATGGTAGGCTACTCTATCAAACTTGTACTTGAGTTATTTCTTGTTTAGCTTCAGCCCCTTAGGTCTGCAACGTTCTAGTAGAGTCGTGAAGGCATTCTCATGAATTTACATTGCTTCTTCCTATTCATCCAACTCGACTTGTAGAAAGCCATTTTTTGCATCAACAATGGAGAACACCTTTGTCTTTGTTAGTTATGTTGCTACATCGTCGATGATTGGTATTGTCTACATCGTCGATTTATAATAACTGTATGCTTTGTTTAGCTTCTCGACTACATCCGTGCTGCTTATTCACGGGGTTGGCAAGGTTACTTTGGCGATGACTACCATTCTTTCAAGCTCATTGATCTTCTGTTTCAGCTCATTGATCTTCTGTTTCAGCTCTCTAGGATTGCTCTGTACTGGTTTAACATCATATAGGATTGGTTTCAATATAGTACTGTACAGAAATTTGTCCTAGACCGGTGAACACATCTTTCTATACTCTCGGAATATCTTTTCCTAGTTCGTAACTGGCGATGGTCTTTTCGCGTTCTGTACTTGGTGTACGCACTGTTTATTGAACTGTACTGGTCCAAGAGCTTCACATACTTTGCCAGAAAATAGCGATCTACAGTAGGTGTATCCTTGACAATTTGAAAGTTGACTTTTTTGCTAATGTCATTATAGCTGTGCAGCGTAGTTTAGTTTGTCCCAAATACATGTCCATCTTTTCTGGCGGTGGTATCAACGATCGTGACATTTTATCATTGAAAAGTAAACTTAGTTTATATTGCTTTACAGTCCTTGAGAATGTGTATACACAATTTTAATACGGCGGCTAACATGTCGAACAGAAAAAAGTTGATATTCCAGCTTAAAAGTTTGATGAGATTTAAGAAAACAATCCAGCAGTTGCAGTAATTTACCTGTTTTTTCACCTTCTCTGAAGTTCGTATTAAAATGTATCACCCAGTGTGCATTTTTTAAGGATACTTCAGTGGTGGGGCAAAACTGCCAAAGGCCCCCATTTTCCTTGCCAACCCCATTCATGCAGCCTAGTATGCGATTGCCGAAGGTGTGAGCCGAGTACCGCAGGCACGAGTTAGCTTGGGAGGTCTGGGAGCATGCCCCCCCCCCCCAGGAAATTTTTAAAATTTGGGTCTCTGAAATAGCATTTCCTGCATTCAAGCTTTTCAAAACAAAGTTTTAATGGTGAAATTTGTAATAAATTGCATGCTAAACATTCAAACACAACATAAGTTTAACACTTTCGTCACCAGGCGACTTTTGGTTCCGGCGATATCCAGGTTAGGGTTAGGGTCCAAAAAGTGGGACAAATTTTGTTTTTTAAACTACTTTTTAATGTTAAACTCATTTACTGAAATACAGGTGCTAGGGCCCTGACTTTGGGGAAATAGGCCATTTTTTTTCTTCAGTGGTGGGGCAGAGGAAGGGGCCCAGTGGGGCAAATGCCCCACCAGTCCATGGTATTAAAAAATGCCTTGGTATCACCTGACACCATGTTATGCTATACATGTGTTAGTTACTATACCATGCCGAGTGCACACTTTATCATAAGTCCTGGTAACTACAAAAGAATACATATAGGTGCCCCACAACATTGTATGTATGTATGTAAACTTTATTTAAAGACGTTAGCCTCGTCAACGATTTGTTGATTTTCACGAGGGACGTCTGTTACTATTAAAAATTACAAATATGATATAGAAAAGAATAAAGAATTATATACAACTATTTACAATACAAGAATTAAGTTCCGAACGGTGTGACCCATATTTCTAAAGCATGCATATACAGTATATTAGAAGATGTTAGCGTGAAACTTTCAGGCAGTTTTTAAAAGAATAAATTGATTGCGCTAGCTTCGCATCAGAAGGAAGACTATTCCACAATTTAGCTCCGCTATACTTAAAGCTTTTTTTAGAAATTCTCGTTTTGGCTTAGCAAGGGTAAGGTCAGTGCAAGTATTGCGAAGATTATAACTGGTTTGAACAAGGTCCCTTCTCGTTAGAGCATCCTTCAAGTTCGGCCCAGCGCAATCATTCAGGACTTTATACATTAATGTGGATTTAGTTGTACGTTGTCTTATCTCTAAATTTTCCCAAGCAAGGGATCGAAGAACATCAGCAGACCTTATTTCATAGCTGGCGCCGGTTATAATTCTCGCTGCACGGTTTTGGAACTTTGAAGCTTATCTTTCAGCTGTTGGTTACAGACGTCCCATAATGGACTACAATAATCAAAATACGGTTCTATCAAAGCTCTGTAAATGGTATGCAGGGTATTTATAGGAACATATGGCTTAATTCGTTGCATTGCTCCTATGCCGGCCCCAACTTTCTTACAAATCATTTCAACATGCTCATGCCAATTAAGGTTTTCATCAAGTTTAACCCCAAGGCATGTGTATGAATGAGCAAGAGTTATGGATTGGTTATTCATCATTACTGGAATATCATAAGTCATAGTATCAGTATTATACTTTGAACCGATATACATTAATTTGGTCTTAGTTGGGTGGTGTTGCAGTTTATTTCAAGCAAGCCACTCACCGACTTTTTTCAGGTCATTATTTAGATTTTCAGTAAGTTCCTCAATAGTTTTAGCAGAAGTAGAAATTTGAGTATCATTAGCGTATAGGTGTGGCGAAGTTTTTTCGAGGCATTCGGGTAAATCATTAATATATAATAAAAACAGCAAGGGACCAAGAATTGATCCCTGCGGAACTCCGCACACAATCGTTTTAGGTGATGACATTGCACCGTTGACAATGCATGCTTGCTCTCTATTAGTTAGATAGGACTTAAACCAATCCAGTTCCACATTTTTTATTCCAAATTGATCATTCATCTTTGGCAATAAGATTGTATGATCAATAGAATCAAAAGCTTTTCTAATATCAAGGAAAACAACACCACTCAACTGACCATTATCCATGTTCTCATAAAGTGTGTCACACATTTGAATGAGTGTTGTTAAAGTTGAATGCTTAGGCCGAAAGCCAGATTGATGTTTAGATAGCAGCGAATTATCATTCAAAATCTTATAAATCTGGTTGAAAACCGATCTCTCTAGTATTTTACTGACAATAGGCAATATAGATATCGGTCGGTAATTTTCACATCTTTGTCTATCATCAGATTTAAAAATTGGCATTACCCACGCCTTTTTCCATTCATCAACATATATCCCAGTTTTGATTGAAAGATTATAAATCCATGTTAATGAAGGACCAATAACTTCCGCAGACAATTTAAGAGCTATAGCAGGGATGTTATCAATACCGATAGACTTTGAAATTTTAAGATTACGTAATTGACAAATAATATCATCCATACTAATTTCAGAAAACTTAAAATTTATATTAGAGTAATAGTTAGAGTGGTAATTTTCATCATCTGAAAAGTTCGTACATGGAGAATCGTTCTCAATTTCATTAGCCAAATTTACCCCGATGTTAACAAAGAAGTCATTAAACGCCTCAGCTTTCAAAGTATCATCTGAAATCACAACATCATCACATTTAAGTTGAGAGATATTATTTGATTTTTTGTTTTTACCTAAGAGAATATTAATTAACTTCCAACTATGTTTCATATCTTTCGATTGTGCGCAGTTCTCAAATTTGTTACAGAAAAATGCTGTTTTAGCTTTAGTTAGTTCTGAATTGACTTTGTTACGTATTTCTTTAAATTTCTCCCAGTGAATCTGGGAATTATTTTTAACAGCCATTTTCTTGTAAGAGTCCCTAACCCTCATCAGATTTTTGATATCAGGGGAAATCCAAGGAATAGAATTTCCTCTAAGTCTCATCAGTCTTAGGGGCGCATGCCAATCAAGGACGTGTAGGAAAAGGGATCTCCATATCCGCCAACAAACATATGGGCTATCATAAAGCGCCACATTTTCCCAGGGCATCTGGGAAAGATCATTAAGAAAGTTATTGGCATTGGATCTTTTGAAATTGCGAACATATCTTGTCTTTTGCCGAGATTTAGTGACACAATATTTTCTAACGGCAAAAACCAAACTATGATCAGATATTCCAAGATGAATAACACCAGATTTCGAAATATTTTCCTCTTTGTTTGTCAATATCAAGTCTATTAAGGTTGCTGATGTTCTTGTTACCCTTGTAGGTTCATTAATATGTTGTCTATACTGGTAAAGTGAGGATAGAAATTGTAGTCTGCGTGTGTGAGCTTCGGGAGGACATTTTATGGTATCACAATTCAGATCCCCCATTATTATTACTTCAATATTTTCCAAATCTCATTTTCTAAGAAAAGTCTCGTATTCATTAAAGAGACTAACCTCAGAATTAGGCGGTCTATACCATGTGTGGATATACACCCAACTGTAAAGTAACATCACAAACATCACTCAGTTAAAAACATATGTTGAACTATTAAATTCAAAGTATTTTCAAAGGTAAATCATTGACTGTTTTAAAGTGGGCATTCAATCTCTGTTTGCAGGCAGTGTCCAAATCAGTTACATTGTGGCAAAAAGTGACTTTTCAAAATTTTATCAATCTTCGATAAACAACATGTTAATTTGTAGACAAAATTTACTATTACAAGTAAATCGGTAGAAAGTTTATCAACGCTTGCAAGCACAAATCTAATGGCATATCTTAGAAACAGATAAAAGTAAAAATATAACTAGGGATCCAAGGATAGTGTGAAGTTTCAAATTGAAAAAGACACTGCAAGAACTATATAGGGTTGCCGACAACCTATTGAAAGGCTGATGGCTTACACTACGAAATAAACAGTTACCAAAGGCTTTTCATCTCATCTATTTTATAATGCGTTCGGCACATGAGTAGCGCCACGTTTGAAACAAGCCTAACAGATCAGAAACGTGCCTCGTGGAACTGATACAATTTATTTATTTATTGTGATGCTACACGCGACAACTCGAAATTTAAATTGTTTCACCAACACCCAAATTTTGCATATTCTAACTTCATTTGCATTTGCAGCTGTCGCTAAAAGCATCCTAACGAGGCTATTGATACGCTGAAATTATTTAATATGATTATTCCCATCACCCAAATAGTTGTATAAGATATGTTATCAATAATAAGCACTACGACGTTGTATCATTAAAAGAACCCATTTTATCCCCATCCGTTCTATTTTATCCCCATATCCGTTCCGTGGATCCGCTCCATCCGCTTCCGCATTTTAATCTAATTGCGACATGTTTCTATGACAATAACAAGTCTGATTGACCTTTGACTTTATATTCCCAATGGCAATGTCACATTGCGTTTCATGAGTCATTTTCAGCTTTTCGCATGTATTCAATGTCACTTTAGATTTCAATAGTTTCACAGTTATAGCAGTGTTTATAGCAGTTTTAATGAGCTTTGATACGGCTCTGTGTACAGATTGATTCTCGTAAGATCTGGTAGAATTATCGTTGCACTTAACACGAGTTTGCACTGTTCAGTGACGTTGTGCTAGACAGTATTCAAAGTAAGTCCGTGACGGTACACGTTGGCTATCTCTTTATATTCTTGTTGGCAAGCCAAGCGATTGGCGATAACACGTTGGCTATAACTCCTCGTCTTTCTTGTTTAAATAAAGAGCTCTGCAGACTCAACTGATTTCTTTTAGTCTCGATCACAACTCACAAGTTATTTTCTTCGTAAACGCCATACAAACACCCGCTTCTGTGCAATAGTTGTTTACACTTTGTCTAATGCAATTTTTCGCTCTTTGTACTGAGTGTAGCCATCTATTCTGTGGTGTAGCACCTTATACAGCCAATGTATACTGAGTAATGAATACACGGCCCAAACAATATATCTTCTGGCACTTAATTGGGCGCAGGTAATGCATAAGCCATAATGTCATCAATTTATATATTGCGTAGAATCTGAAAGATTTTCTCAATATTCATGTCTGAAATGTTTATATATTTGAAAACAACACTCTCTCGCTCTTTCCTACCTCTGTATAATGGGTATACCGTGGAAATAATATCGGCACTCAATTGAATGCCCAGAATCTCAAAGATTTTCGACTCAATATTTACGTCTGAAATGTTTAATATATACACTTGAAAAAAAGCACTGTCTTAGCTCCTTGCTAGCTCTGTAAAATGTAATATAGGCCTACCGTCTATTAATATCGGCACTTAATTGAATGCATAACATCAATTTATATATTGCGTAGATTCTCGAAGATTTACTCAATATTCACGTCTGAAATGTTCATACATTTCAAAACAACACTGTCTCGCTCCTTCCTAGCATCGTCACGCTATCGTGATCTACGGCTTGATAGCGCATGCGCATTTGCGCTGCTAAAGAAAAAATCGGGTGTTCCGGGGTAAAGATCCTTTACACAACATGAGAACGAATGTTATAAAATTTACAATAACGACAACTATTCCTCGAATTTTTTGTAAACTTGGCAAAAGGCCTAAAGAATATTTAAATAAGACAATTGAAATTGCCTAAATAACCTTCAAAGCACAGACTCAGTACGATAAATCACTACGAACATATACCGTATACACCCCCCGGAAAGTTTACTGTATGACTGAATGAATGAATGAATGACTGACTGAATGAATGAATGAATGACTGACTGAATGACTGACTGTTTCGTTTGAATTCCCCCCCAGTAATCACAATACTGTGAAGTTTCGAAGAAACTTCACACTAAAAACGATGACGACTAACCGGTTTGACATGAAAATATGTTTGAGAGAGAATACCGAACATCAAAGTTCAAAGTAAACGATTTTATTTGTTTCTTGACTTGACTGTTGATAAAATGCTAGACTGTTTTGTAATTTAAAAGCAAACAGAAGTAGATATAGAAGTTAGCGGGCGTTTCGAACTATGTATGACTGTATGCCCACTCCTAGTAATTGAAATTTAACGTTTTCTGTGGAAGCATGTAATTTCATACAGTGCCACTCCCCCTTAGGCAATTAAGTTTTGTAGAGTCACGTGTCCAGACAATACCAGGGTCTTTCCCAACGTCGTTCCCCGAGGCTGCGATCCTCGGGAAGGAACGCGAGGCTCTGGGATAATCCGTTTCAGGGAAAAATCTGATTGGCCGTTGATATGGAATACACAGCTCGGTTCTAGCCAGGATTCATGGCTTCCGGCAACGGATTATCCCAGAGCCTCCGGTTCCTTACCGAGGATCGCAGGCTCGGGAAACGAGATTGAGTCTTTCCAAGAAACCTTGGGTACGAGGATTCCTAAAGCGCTCTATATTCAGTGTATTTGCTGTAGTCTATGGAAATCGGAATCGTAGAAACAAATATCTGGCTTCGTTTGGCTTAAATTTCCCATCACATTATAAATGAAACCATACATCGAATATGGGAAACGTGCTCACACCAGGGCCTTTTTGAAGAATTTGTTCGTGGTAGGGGGGAAGGGAGGATATGTACAGAAAGGAACCATACTATACCGAGTGAGGAGAGATGACAGATGGTTGTTGGTGACAAAAAGTTTGGTGTGGTGTCGTATGTAATAACTTTTCTTCCCTGTCGGGGAGCACTAGCCCCCCGTCGGGGAAAATTAATAGAGTCGTCAGGGAAAACAGGGAAATTCCGAAAAGTACGATCTTGTCGCCATGCTTGTTCTCCCGCAAGTTATTATACCTTAATGTAGTCATTCACGTTAATATCTATTCACTTCTGCACTAGCTTGCTGTGGTAGCTTGTGGAATATATGATTTGGTGTGGATGCGTGTCAAGCTTATACTGCCCTAATGGGAATTGAACCACGTAACCTTCTAATAACCGGACAGTCGCTGTCGAGTGGGTGTATTTATATTTATTATTGCTTTATTCTTAAAGTGCCTATGACACGAAGTTTCACCCCAAATGTTTATGGTTGCATTGTAAAAATCACTTAAAATGACTTAATAATTTCTTTTATAGAATTTTGGTAACTTGCTTTCTTTGCAAGATATTCAACTTTGTTTCATATGCAAATATCACCGGTGTGACATCACATCACATAATGAGTTTTCAGAAAAGTATAGTTTTATTCACGAATACGTATCTAAAAAACTTAAAAATTGCCCTTGTATATGTATTAATGTCATAACTGTCACTTTGTATTTGTTTGTAAAAATATTTTATCAAGGTAAAATATTGCGTTTTCCAAATGTCATTATGCGATGTGATGTCACACCGGTGATATTTGCATATGAAACAAAGTTGAATATCTTGCAAAGGAAGCAAGTTACCAAAATTCTATAAAAGAAATTATTAAGTCATTTTAAGTGATCTTTACAATGCAACCATAAACATTTGGGTGAAATTTCGTGTCATAGGCACTTTAATTAAGACGTTGATTTTAGTGAGATTTAAGGCAGAGTCATCGATCGATCAGTTTTGAGTTGATTGCAGCGAAGTATTTTGTAAAGAATATGTCGGTAAGCTTTTCTGTATTTGATATGTCTCATTCCGTAGATGAAAGCATTCATGATCGAGTTTATTCCATAAAGTTCAAAGTGAAAAATTACGAACCACATCTGTTTACATGCTGGACTACAGGAAGAGTATATCACCGACCAAGCCACAGTTGGAGTGAGGACACAGAAAGCCAACACTGCAACAACTGTAGAAAATGTTTTAACTGCTTTAACAGCGTGAAAAAGTCCATGTACAGCCGACATTTTGTTTCCAGGTTGTCCATCGGAAGTTGCAACTTTGCTGTTTCAGCCAAGATACGTTTTCGTTGTTTC